TCTTCTGTCTCTCTCCTTCCCACATCAACCCCAAATGCAATGGTTCACCGTCCTCCTCCGGGTTCCCATGACAGAGGCCACAGTTCAGGCCCCCTCGCTTCACTCCAAGCCACTGCCAAATGCTCCCTGCTGGGGCCTCTGGAGCCTCTCCCCAAGCCAGGGGGCTTCCCAGTGCAGCCTGAACATCTCTCCAAAGCACAGGTCTGACCCCCCACTGCCCACCTGAACAGCTTCCTTAGCTGATGTCTCTTGAAATCGAGGCCAGGTCCACAGTGCCAATTCCACCCTCTCTACAATGTCTCTGCAGCCAAACCGGCTCGCCATCCTGGTGTTTCCTGGCTTGGTTTCACCTCTCCTTCCAAATGCCTGCCACTCGACTTTGCGTCTGTGTTTTCTGTCTGGGGTCCTGCACGCGTGTGGTTCTGAAGGGAATCACCGATTCCTTGACGTCAGTTCACCCCACAGCCACTGTGATGCCTGCCCTCATCTTCCCACCTCTGCACACCCACAGCACGCCAGTGACATCCTATAATGATGTGACATTGGGATGAGGTTATCTGCCCTGGTTTCTCCCAGTCCCATTAGACTAGATGCCTACAGAAGGCAGGATCTTGGAGAAACATCAATGTACTCTATTTCTTTTATTTTTTTGTGACAGAGACTCGTTCTGTCCCTCAAACTGGAGTGCAGTGGTGAGATCATAGCTCACTGCAGCCTCCATCTCTTTGGCTCAAGTGATCCTCCCACCTCAGCCTCCTCATTAGCTCAGACTACAGGGCTGTGCCATCCCACCTGGACAATTACTTATGTATTTATTTAATTTTTTTAATTTTTTTTATTTTCTTTGAGAAGGAGTCTCGCTCTGTCACCCAGGCTGGAGTGCGATGACAGGAACTCAGCTGACTGCAACCTCTGCCTTCTGGGTTCAAGCAATTCTCCTGCCTCAGCTTTCTGAGTAGCTGGGACTATAGGCCCATGCCACCAGGCCCGGCTGATTTTTTGCATTTTTAGTAGAGATGGTGTTTCACCGTGTTAACCAGGATGGTCTTAATCACCTGACCTGGTGATCCACCGGCCTCGGCCTCCCAAACTGTTGGGATTACAAGCGTGAGCCACTGTGCCCATTCTATTTATTTATTGAGACAGAGTCTCGCTCTGTCTCCCAGGCTAGAATACAGCGGACCTATCTCGACTAACTACTACCTCCCCCTCCTGGATTTATCTAATTCTTGTGCCTCAGCCTCTAGAGTAGCTAAGACTAAGGTGTGCGCTACCACGCCAGGGGATTTTCGTATTCTTAGTAGAGATGGGGTTTCGCCATGTTCAACAGGTTGGTCTCAAACTCCTGGCCTCAAGTCATCCACCCGCTTCAGCCTCCCAAAGTGTTGGGATTGCAGGTGCGAGCCACCGCGCACGGCCGGAAGTTCTTTATTTTTAGTAGAGACAAGGGTCTTCCTAAGTTATCCAGGCTTGTCTCGAACGCCTGGCCTCAAGCAATCCTCCTGTGTCGGCCTCCCAAAGTGCTGGGATTCTAGGCCTGAGCCACCACTCTCAGCCATCAGTGGGCTTTTTGTCTCCATCCTGAAGGTGTGAGGGGTGCCCTTCAGTAGGTCTCTGTCCAGCAGGGCCCTCCTGAGGAAGGCATGGCTCTCTGCAGGGTGGGTGCCAGTCCTGAGCTGAGGACGGTCTCCCGCCCTCCTCTCTGGGAAGCTGACCTCAGCCGGAGGTCTCTCCTGGTGGTGCCCCTGAGTAGCAGCCTGATTTCTGCCCCCAGCTACCTGGCCAATGACATGGAAGAGGACGACGAGGGCCCCAAACAAGCCATCTTCTACTTCCTGTATGGGAAGAACCGCTCCCAGCGACCCTTGTTCCAGAAGCTTCGCTTCCAGTTCTTCTGTTCCATGCACTGTAGGGCTTGGGTTTCCCTGGAGGAGCTGGAGGAGGTGGGTGCGGTGTGGGGAGGTGGAGGAGGTGGGGAGGAATCAGGTGGTTGGAGGCTGGATGAGGGGATGGAGGGGTATCCTGGGGAGTCCCTGTCTCCTCAAGGGGTGTTTCTTTTGCAGATACAGGCTTATGACCCAGAGCACTGGGTGTGGGCACGAAATCGTGCCCTCCTTTCCTAGAGCTCCAGGGACCGTGGAGGCCTGAGGTCATCGGCCCGAGGGAAGGTACATCTGCGTCCCCAGGGTCAAGGCAGAATATTGTGTCTATTTAGGAAATCTGAGGAACCCAATTGCTTGACCTAGCTTCAAGCCTGGGCAACAAGTGAGATTCCCTCTCCACAAAAATACACAAATTAGCTGGGTGATGTGGGAGGCATCTCTATTCCCAACTGCTCAGGAGACTGAGGAGGGAGGATCGCTGGAGCCTGGGATATTCGAGCTGCAGGGAGCCCTGATCCTGCCACTGTACTCCAGCCTGGTCGATACAGTGAGACCCTGTCTCAAAATTCATCAGAAATACTGAGTTCTGAAAGGTTCTCTAGGATTGATGCAGTTGGATTACCTATTTGGGTCAAGGATTCAGTGAAGATTTGGTTTACATCTTGCGCAGCTAACCACCTTGAGGACTCAGCATGAGACTTAAACATTAGGAAGTAGGATTATGGATTAGGCTCCGGGACTCATGGTTCGTGATGTTGTCACATTAGAAACATATCTAGCGTGGTGACCAGTTTAGATCTTAAATGGCCAGAAAGGGTCATTGTCTGAGGGTGCTGTACTGCCTGGGCAGGCCCACATAAAGTCCTGGTGAGGAAGCAGATCACTGGGGATGGCCTTGGGTGTATTCAGTGAGTTTTGGAGTCAGGGTCACCAAAGTGTGACTATCACAATTGAACACCATGGTTCAGATGCAGGCTAGAGAATGAACGGCAGGAGATGAAACTGGATTGATCAATTGCTCTGAACTCTAGTTAGGATAGATGTGGGACGTGAATGACCTTGCTAGAGAACTGCCTCCTTGAAGCCTGACATCCTCTCTCTCACTTCCAGAACACCAGGCCCAGGGGAGATACATTTTCAGCACAAAGTTTATTCCCATGCTAATGGCAGACAGACACCAGGAAGGAAGACAGGAGCCATTTGTGCAGATCATCTAGAAGAACCTGGACTGTTCTAGAAGGAGCTGAAGAGAGTGATCACGCTGTCCTCCTAGGAGTGGGGGGTGGGGAGACGGTACTTCTAGGAGTCCATGGAGGACAGTGAGAAACCAGGGGTGTTTCTGGTTCCGCCCCTTCCTGCGGCACCACCTCCCTTTTTATGTTGCTGAATTCCAGCCTCCCTGGGGTGGAACCTGGAGGTCCTGTTTCCTGTGGACTTGGACGCCACAGTCCAGGAGCATTTGAAGGCACAGTGCAGGCACTCAGATTGGCACGGAATAATTTGTAAAATATGAGTGCCGTAGGATTGTAACAGATAGCTTCATGCATACTATGCATTTTTGTGGTTTTTTGGCCATCAAATTATTAATATGTTTATTTCAAATAGTTTGGAAACTGCTGTACTTTTGAAAACATGCTGTTCCTGTAGAGTTTCTGATGAGAGTTATAGCTGTTATATATACATAAATCTAATTTTCTTTTCATTTTTAAGAATTTGTTTTATCTTAAATCTTTTATGTTTAAATTGTTTTATCTGTTACGATGTGTTATGATATGAAGCCAGCACTTTTTATCTGTGACACTTACATAATAACCTATTGTATTTATAGCTATGTGATAGTTCCCCTAAATTCTTCTGACAGAAATTTTTATTTGCTGTTTAGTGTTTGTTACTGAATTCTGAGAATTCAGTTGTGATTTTTAACATGTCCTACATATATACTAATATGTCTACTACATACCATACACTTTATTGGTTTATTTTGGAAAAGATGGGCATAGAATCATTACTATATTTATTTTAACAGTTTGGAACTCCTGACGGTTTAGAATAGATGCTGTTCCTATGAATTTGTGTGACAGCTGTTACAGCTACTAGATACACATAAGTATAATGCTGTTTTTCTTTTTAAGAGAGGATTCTTTCCATCTTAAATCTTTTGTCTTTAAATCTTTGTATCCATTATTATGTGCTCCTTAAGAGAGCACTGTTTTTATCTATGATGCTTACTTAACATATCTATTACCTTTATAGCTACAAGGTAGTTTCCCTAAATTCTTGTAGAAATAAATTTTTATTTGATGTTCAGTCCATGTTTTTGAAATGCGAGAATTCAGATGTATTTTTTGCCTTGTATTGACATGTTTGTAAGTTACTTTGAAGAGGATGTGTGTTTTGAAGGAGGCCACGAGCTGTGTGTTGTCAACGGAACAGTGCAGTGCATCTCTTGGAAAACGTGATAAACATGAAGTTTTCTCGCCTTCACAGCGAGTGGGATCAGATTGCTCTGGATTGCTTATTTGCTGTCAAGTGACATTTTTCATTAATGGGGTTGTGGTTATTTGGACATATTTATTAGCTCTGGAAGATAATCTTGTATTATTTCTTATGTAGATAAAAACATAAGGCTGAGTGCAGTGCTCACACCTATAATCCCTGCACTTTGGGAGGTCATGGGGGGACAATCACTTGAGGCCAGGAGTTGAGACCAGCCTGGGCAACATGGCATCTACATCTATTTTTTAAAAAGGAAAAAAAATACAACAGAAGGCCGATCCCAAGCCAGAGGTTTTTTTGTTTTGTTTTGTTTTTTGGTTTCTTTTTTTGAGACAGAGTCTAGCTCTGTTGCCCAGGCTAGAGGGCAGTGGCAGGATCTTGGCTAACTGCAACCTCCACCTGCCAGGTCCTAGTGATTCTTCTGCCTCAGCTTCCTGAGTAGCTGGGACCACAGGCAAACACCACCACGCCTGGGTAACTGTTGTATTTTTAGTAGAGACAAGGTTTCACCATGGTCTCAAACTCCTGACCTCATGATCCATCTTCCTCGGCCTCCCAAAGTGCTGGGATTACAGATGTGAGCCATCGCACCTGGCCTGTGTGACCCAATTCTGATGTCAATTCCCTGATGTTTCAGCAAATACCACAGGTTAAGACCATAAGCCCCCACTAGGCTGCCCTCACTTAAGACACAAGCTGCAAACTTGGGTGTCCTCAGACCACATGTACTTCTCACCAGCTGGCTACAACTTTGGAGGCTCCCACAGTGCCCTCTGCTTCCATAATTCTCTATAACAACTTGCAGAATTCAGAAAAGCATGACATTTTCTTTTTCTTCCTTTATTTCAAGATGTTGTCTCACTCTGTTACCCAGGCTGAAGTGCAGTGGTTTCTTCTCGGCTGACTGCAAACTTTGCCTCCCAGGTTCTGGTGATACTCCTGCCTCAGTCACCGGAGAAGCTGGGATAACAGGTGTTTGCCATCATACCCTGCTAAGTTTTCTATTTTTAGTAGAGACGGGGTTTCATCATGTTGACTAGGCTGGTCTCAAACTCCTGACCTCAGATGATCTGCCTGCCTCGTCCTCCCAAATTGCTGGGATTACAGGCATGAGACACTGTGCCCAGCCAAGCATACTTTCTTTTTTCTTTCCTTCTTTTGATACAAGTCTCGCTCTGTCATCCAGGCTGGAGTGCAGTGGTGTGATCTCGGCTCACTGCAACATCCACCTCCAGGGTTCAAGCCAATCTCCTGCCTCAGCCTCACGAGGAGCTGGGACTATAGGTGCATGCCACCACACCCAGCTAATTTTTTTAAAATTTTTAGTAGAGACAAGGTTTCACCATGTTGACCAGGCTGATCTTGAACTCCTAACCTTAAGGCGACCCGCCCACCTTGGCTTCCCACAGTGCTGAGATTGCAGACGTGAGCCACTGCGCCTGGCCTGATACTTTCATTACAGTTTTCTATGAGAAAAACACTGACAAAAGACCAGCCAAAAGCAGAATCACAAAACGCAAACTCTGAGAGGGTGTCAAAGACGCCCTCTCTGTGTCCTCAGGACGCCCCATCCTCTCAGCACACTGATGTGTGTCACCAGCCAGGGAAGCTCCCCTGGGCTTCCACATCCAGGGCTTTTATTACAGTGGCCGGGTTGATTCAGTCACTGGCCAGGCAGCTGAGTCCATCTCCAGCCCCCCAGTTCCTTTCTGGGATTCGGGCTGACACCACGTGACTCGAAGTCGCAACCTTCAAATCACATGGTTGGTCATCTGGTGTGGGTGACCCCTTGCCAAGCCAAATGGTTGGCATGAACTCAGGTGTAACCCTGGGGGGCCACTGCGAGTAACAGACGCACCTATCACCCAAGAACTTCCAAGGACGTTGAGTCTGTCTCCAGGAATCAGAGACAAAGACTGAAACAACTGGGAAAAAGCGGGGAAGTGTCAGACAGCAAAGAAACAGATAAACTCCTTTCCGTGTGTGTGTATATATAATGCATATAAAATATATATTCAATGTATTATTATATTAAATATATAGATGGCTTTATAAATTTTTGTCATATTTATATATAACTTATATGTATATCTAAATAGTATAACTATAGGGAGAAATATATATAAATTTCTCCCTTTATTTATTTTTTCATTATTGAGGTTGAGTCTTGCTCTGTTGTCCAAACTGGAGTGCGATGGCACAATCTTGACTCACTTCAACCTCTGCCTCCCAGGTTCAAGCAATTCTCCTGCCTCAGCCTCCCAAGTAGCTGGGATTACAAGTACCCAGTGCCACAGCCGGGTAGTTTTTGTATTTTTAGTAGAGATGCGATGTTACTGTGTTAGCCAGGCTGGTCTCGTGCTCCTGACCTCATGTGATCCACCTGCCTCGGCCCCCCATAGAACTGGGATTACATGTGTCAGCCATGACGCCTGGCCAAATTTATCTCTCTCTCTATATATAAGGAAACATATGTGTGCGGGGGGAGGGGCTTGGGATGCCATAACAAAATACCATAACTGGGTGGCTTAAATAACAGAAATTCATTTTCTCACAGTTCTGGAGGCTGGAAGTCCAAGACCCAGGCGCCATCAGGACTGGAGTCTGTTGAGGCCTCTCTTCCTGGATTGTGGGTGGCTGGACAAACAGCAACGTCTGTCTGCGGCTCTGGGAGGCTGAGAGTCATCCCACTCTGGTGAACAGCAGTGCAGTCCATCTCCAGTGGGGACCCAATGTCAGAACAGAAAGGGAATATTTAGAACACTCCCAGAATATGTTGTTGAGAGAAATGAAAGAAATTAGCAAACCTCCTTTTAATGGGAGTAAGCTAAAGGGGAGGTTCAACTGATGAGAACATGTCAGCATTTCTACAATGACTGAGAAATGCCTCCAGGAGTTTATGTCCTGGGACCCCGAGGCGCAGGGTGTCAGCTGGTCCTCAGCACTGACTTCATATCTCAGAGTGCCCGAGAGAGCTCTAGAAGGCTCCAAAAATGACCGTATGCCGTGACATTAACCCCTTCCAGATACTAGAGATAGATAACCAGGTTTTCTTTTTCGTTTTCTCTTTTTTTGAGACGGAGTTTGCTGTCGCCCAGGCTGGAGTGCAGTGGCATGATCTCAGCTTACTGCAACCTCCGCGTCCAGAATCAAGTGATTCTCCTGCCTCAGCTTCCCTAGAAGATGGAATTAAGGGAATGTGCCACCACGCCCGGCTAATTTTTGTACTTTTAGTACAAAATTTTTGTACTTTTTGTACTTTTAGTAGAGACGGGGTTTCACCATCTTGGCCACGCTGGTCTTGAACTCCTGACCTCAGGTGATCTGCCCACCTTAGCCTCCCAAAGTGCTGGGATTTCAGGCATGAGCCACCATGACCGGCTGACTTCCAGAGTTTTAATAACAGATGTGGTTGAAGAATAAAAGGAAGCCATGGTCCGTAGGCGGCAGGAGTTTCATGAAAGAGGTCAGTGAAGGGCAGGACGTAAAGTTCTCTACCTACAAGAAACCAGCCCAGAGCCTCCCACGGGGACTTCAGCACAGAGGGCTGGGAAAATCTGCATGAACCCGAGCCCTGGACCTAAAACAGGACAAGGCCTTGATTGTTTCCACAGACTCACAAGATGCAACCTCTGTAGTCCATGCCCATGGTGCGATCTGGAAAAGGGGGCCTTCTCAATGCCAATAACAAGGAAATCAAATGTGCAACAGGAATATTGGCACTGATGTGGGCTGTGGAAAGGTCTAAAGAGGTTACTTTGATGACCCTCCCAAGGTCATCAAAGCAATGACTCTGAAATAATAAATTTCACATGCCATGGCCAAGATA